GGAGGAGGGGGTCACATGACCAACACATGGACTAACCATGGAGAGGAGGGAGGGCTAGTGGGTGAGGGAGGAGGGGGTCACATGACCAACAGATGGGCTAACCATGGAGAGGAGAGGAGAGTGAGTAGGTGATGGAGAAGTAGGTCACATGGAAGAAGTAATTCTTTGCACATGAAAATGTCAAAGTTCATAATTCTTCATCCAGAATTGAAGATCTGGAGCCAAGGATGAGTTAACAACCACTGAGTTAACTCACAGACAGTGAGTTAATTCCTCAAAGACTGATAATTTCATCAATTTTGCCTACATAATTGAACCTCCATAAACACTCTGATATTTATTCAAGCCATGCACAATATAAAATTATGACAACTCATGAGCTGGGCCCTCTGAAATCCACTCTTTTAACATCTTCCAGTATGACTACCTTGAAGCCTACGCTACCTGATAGTCTTTCTACACAGGACCCGAACTGTACTCATACCTGGCCAGGCTCTGCCATGCTCATGTATGTGGCTCACTTGTAAGATCCTGGGGGAGTGTGCCATTAAATACACTTGATCCTGCTTGTGAGAGTCTAACTGCCGTGGGTCCTGTGCTTCTTTTAATAACCGTGTGAGTCACTTTTCAGCTTTTGTTCTTCTGACAAGGAGCCTTTCTGCTTTAAAACAAAGCATTCTCAGCAGAGGGTTTAAAAGCACCTGGCCCATTTACAACAGCTATTATTTAAATGGTTTTATATTTCCCTAGAGGAGAATTCCTTGGCAGGAAGCACAAATCAAGAAGAACACCATGCAGGCCTTCCTTTTCTGGGAACTCGTGTAAGTGGGACACACACACGTGAGGTGCTTTTGCAGTCCTCCGTGTGACAGGAGGCAGGACATCTTCATTATTGCCTAACTTGCTCAACATTAATTACCTGAACTTCCAGATGCTTCCTCCCAGACCTCTAGGAAATGATAATTATGCAGTGATAGCTGAGACCACAGAGGGCTCAGAAGAACATCAGAACATCGTTACCTTGTCACCTAGATAGGATGGAGGTGATACCCAGGATGCACTGTGGACTGATGACGGCAGCTCCTGCAGATCTGCAACCACGCTGTTGCTGCCTGGGTTGAAGGACACAGGGACAGCAACTCCATCCTCTGTCTCCAGACGCCAGCCCACCATGTCTACAAACTAGAGCACAGCAGTTGTGGCTTTTAGAGTGGTGGCTACATCATCAACACTGAAGGACTCACACAATGACCACTGAGCTTCAAAACTTACCTCTATGTATCTTTTTTTAATGCTAAATATTAAACTGGTCTAGTGTGGAGTTTACCACTGAGTCATACCCCAGCTCCATTCATCTCTCCTTGAGTCGGCCCTCCCTGGGCATGACAGGGCTGCCACCTAACTCTGCTCCCTTCTGACCCAGAGGACATGTGACCACATGGATGTGGGCTTTGTCTTTGTATGTCAGCACATACCTTGGTTCTTAACATGAAGCAATTATTTACTGGATGTTCAAATAATCAAAAGATAAGTGTATGAATAATAACTTGGCTGTGGGCATCTTTAAAAGGTGAAATCCAAGGCTGGAGAGATGGCTCAGGGGTTAAGAGCATTGCTATTCTTGCAGAGGACCCAGGTTTGGCTCCTAGCACCCACACTGGGTGGCTTAGCACCATCAGAAACTCCAGTTTCCGGTATCAGATGACCTTTCTGGCCTCTGAAGGCACCTGCACTCATATGGAACACACACATACATGCAGGTACATGCACATATACATAAATAATAAATAAATCTTTAAAAGATGAGATCCACATAAAGAAGGATATAGGAGGAATTCAGGGGACCTTCCCCATCACAGATGAACTATTTCTTAGGAATAGATTCATGAATGGGGGGAGGGGAGGGCCATTGCCTTCAGTTGTGAAACCACTGGTGACTCCATCAAGCTCCAATGGGGAATTACAAGTCAATGATCACACAGATGACCCTGGTAACTAAATGGGTAACAAAACCAAACCAAGGGTCATTGATCTGGGAGAGGAACAGGAAAGAGCAGGGGCTGGCGGGGGGAGAGAGATAAGAGGGGAGGAAATAATCAGAATTTAGTCTATACAAGTATAAAATTGTCAAAGAATTAACTTAGATTTTTAAAAAGGTTTTTGACAACATTAAAAATTTTTTTAAAAAAATTAAGTAGCTAAAATAAAATATTTCCTTTGTCCCCAAGGAAGCCAGCTCCATTTAGAGGGGAGGAAAAAACAAAGAATGGACAGATTTACAAACTCATTTTTCTTCCACTTACCAGCCTGCCCTCCACCCGGGAAGCAGGAGGCAATATAAAACGGTATCACACACAAACAATATGCATGGTGCTGCTGGTTCACGGACTAATGAGAGTGACAACAATCTTAGTTTTGTAAAGTCAGTCCTAGAAGTAGACAGGACTTCGGAGACGGCTCAGTTGGAAAGCACTCGTCTCGCCATCATGAGAACCCGAGTTGATCACCAAGAACCCACAGAAAAAAGCACCTGAGTCTCAGTGCTTGGTAAACGAAGGCAGGGGGATGCCAGCCAGTGTAGCCAGGGCAAGACCCAGTTCAGTGATGGGTCACCTCAGAGACTGAGGTGGAGAGCCATGGAGGAAGACACTTGACATTGACCTCTGGCTTCACCGTGCATAGACACACACACACACACACACACTCACATCGCAAAGTAGGCACATTTAAGATGTGGTAAACATTTGAGAAAGAAATTAAAAGAGGAAGAACATGAGAAGAGAATGAAGAATGTGATATTACCATCATAAAATATTTTGTGGGGCTGGAGGGATAGCACAGAGACTAAAGTGTGTGTCACACACGCACAAGGACCAGACTTTGAATCCCCAGAACCCATGTAAACGCTGGGCCAGCGGGGCAGCTCACCTGCAGTCCCAACCCTCAGGAGGCAGAGACATGACAGTCCCAGAGCCAGCTGGCTGGCTAGCGCAGCAGAACTGGCAAGCTCCGGTGTCAGAGGGAGCCCACCTCAGCATGCATGGTGAACCAGGATAACGGCTGGCATCTAACATGAGCAACTGGCGTGTGCAGACATGTCCAAGCACACCCGCACATACACATGAACCCAGGCACATGCAAACATACACCCTGTATGCTTGTGAGATCCGGATTATTGGGCCCACTAGTTAGCCTCAGGATGGGAACTGGAGACAGAAAGACCAGCAGTGTGTAGAGAGGCAGAACTTTCAGGCCATCCCTCACCTTCCCATAAGTCAATTACCAGTTATGTCAATTACCAATAGCTAATGATTTAATCAATCCTGTCTGCATATGGGAGCTCTGTGAAGACAGTAAGTGATATTTTCGGGGGGCTCAAGGAAGTGGCATGTCCTAACTTCGTGGTGACAGAAGTTAGTGTGCCTGGGGACCTTCTGACCCTGGAGATTTGCCTGCACAGATGTCTGTCTCGATACCACCCTGCAATACAACAAAATCTATTCATCGAATGACATTTCTGGGTATTTTTATGTCCCAAATTCCGTCCTAGGCCCTGGTATATGTCAAGGAGTTCGCATTCTACTGATGAAGGGAAGACAATAAGTTAAAGGCATAATATGTTACAAAGTGCTAAATGCTGTAGGGAAGTCAAGGGCCACAATACAGACAATGACCAGGATTATCTGTTTCACAGGGAGTGGGGACAGAAAGCATTCTGAGCATGTGACACTGGATCAAAACCTGAATGATATGGAACACAATCATGATGGCATCTCTGGAGACATCTCTGGAGACATGGCATCTTGGCTGAGGCCAGGGAGCTGTGAGGACAATGCTGGCGATGTGAATCATCAGTACACAAGACACACCGCAGCTCGTGCCCATTCCCTTGTATCTCAGTCAGGAATACTGACCGAGAACCCAAACCTAACCCTCACACACCTTAGCTCTTCGCTTATGTGAACTTTGACAGTCAGTATTCACTCCAGAACAGAAGCACGCGGTGCAACCCTTTGGATTGGCAGGGTGTAAGTAGAACGATCCTCGGCGGCACACGTGGCATTCTGGGCCTTCCACATTCTCCTGTTGAAGCAAAGGGTGAAGGATGAGTCCTGTAAGACACTCTCTAGCGTCGGGAGGCACAGACAGCCCCGTGTGGGGGACAGCAGGAGGGGCAGCTGGTCCAGCTTCCACCACCTGGAACATCTGCTCAGATGTGATCCCACCACAGCCTCGTGGGACCTGTGCGGCAGGGAAGACAACCTGGGTCCTCATCCAAGAACAAATTACAAAGAAGATACCAACCTCTTTAGAAAACAGTTCATGTTGCCTTTCTGGATTTATTTTTTTTTTATTGTGGTTTTTTTTTTTTTTTTCTATACAGGGTTTCTCTGTGTATCTTTAGCTGTCCTGGAACTCACTCTGTAGAGCAGGCTGGCCTCGAACTCACAAGAGATCCGCCTGCCTCTGCCTCCCTACTCCTGGGATTAAAGGCGTGTGCCACCACTGCCCAGTAAAAGGATTTATTCTTAGCAACAGATTATCATAGGGGGGAGGGGGCTGTGGCCTTTCTAAAAGATGAGAAAAGTCTTTCCTTCAATTATGTGTATAAAGGGAGACGATAAGTACAAAATCTACACACGTTACAGAAATCACCATAGGTCAGTTCCCTTGAAAACTCCCAGGTGTCACATGACCTGCCTTACCTTGCACATGCAAGCCCCAGTCCCTGGGTCGCACACTTGGGGCTCAGTCCCATCTCTGTTACAACTGCAGGGAACACACTCAGGGAACTGGTGGAAGCCGGGAGCACATCTGTCGCACCGCTGCCCTGCGATTCTTGGCTTACACCTGCCCAGGAATAAAGGAAACAAACCTGCATCATTGCTCTATGCAGGTCCTGAAAGGCCTCCCTGCCTTGAGAGAGAGCAGCCGCTGCAGGAGAGCAGCTACACAGACATGGTGCTGAGTGTGGCTGCTGATACCACAGAGAGGGGCACGCTGTGATCTAGAACAGACAACCCACAGAGAGGGGCACGCTGTGATCTAGAACAGACCACCCACAGAGAGGGCACGCTGTGATCTAGAACAGACCACCCACAGAGAGGGGCATGCTGTGGTCTAGAACAGACCACCCACAGAGAGGGGCACGCTATGATCTAGAACAGACCACCCACAGAGAGGGGGACGCTAGGGTCTAGAAAAGACCACCCACAGAGAGGGGGACGCTAGGGTCTAGAAAAGACCACCCACAGAGAGGGGCGCACTATGGTCTAGAACAGACCACCCACAGAGAGGGGCACGCTGTGGTCTAGAACAGACCACCCACAGATAGTAGGTGAAGACACCACCATGGATGGCCTGCGACCCCTGGATCAGGATCCCTGCTGAGGGCTGGAGGTGCAAAGATGTATAACACCGCTCCCCGAAAGCCGGCGAGTAGAAATGGGAACAGTACACATGGGGTCCAGTCCAGAATAGTTCCCAGTTTCCCTGGGGCAGGTCACACCTGGGCTGACGTTAAATGCCGTAGTGCCGGTGTTTTGAGCAGAGGGCACACAGTGGGGCACCACCGAGGGTGTTCAGAAAGTACATCTGGTGTCACTGAAGCAGAATCCCACGTGGAGAATGTCCAACCTCAGGTCTGTCAGGTTAGGTGAGAGCTCCACTGTGCCTCGGAAGGGCTGGCCCCTGTCCTACTCACCACAGCGCAGGGGTTAAGGACTGTGCACCAAAGGCAGCTGGCTGAGGTGCTAACTCAGGCCTCAGGTATGACGGATTATCTTACGAACTGAACGTTTGCTGCTCTGAGACAATGCATACAAACCCCAGCACTGCACCTCCTTCGAGGCTACTCCTAAGCTGCGTGCCGCATGATGAAGAGGTGCCTGAGGAGGAGAGGATGTGGCCGGACTGTGCACAGGGTGGAGCTGAGGAAGAGAGTTCCGACAGAAGGCTGCCCGGTCAGGAGCTAGCTTCAGAAAGGGGATTTAGGGTGGGGAGGAGGATGGTTTCTAACGGTATTTTGAGTGGGGATTCTGGGACTTACATCTTCTACAAGATGGGGAAGAAGAGAAGATGGAGAGTTCCAGGTTTCCAGCTCAATGAGAGGATGGACTCCAGACCCCGTGAAGTCAAGGAAAAAAGGAATTAGTGAGTAGGAGCATGTGGGCAGGAAGTGGCCAAAGGAAGCAGATGGCGAGAGGAGCCACCTGGGGCAAGTCCAGGAGAGACGGACCGTGAGTGCCTGAGCCCATGGGCACTGGTTTGTCATTCAGCAGCTGATGCATGGGATGAACAAGGAAAGGTGGGTCAGAGGGGCGAGAACCCCGAGGGGCTCACCATGTGGAGGCAGGGGAAGGGAGAGGGCTGTGTGCTCAGTCCCTGGTCCCATACCTAAGTGAGATCAGCTGCTTTTTAATCCAATACCTGCTTGTGACCACAGAAAGGATTTTTGTTAACAGTGAGAATCTGGAGGCAGCAGCTTTAGGTGCCAGTCCTGTGTTACAGCTCACTGTGCAGGGGGTTCTGGGAAACGCCATCCTTTTTACAACCAGGTTTTCCACATCTGTGCAAATGGATTGTTCCTTTAAGTAAGAGACTACATGTGAGACCCTCAGGACGGTGCCTTGCACACACTGACGTGTCCTTGTGACGATTCCTGCTCAACCCCGGCCTAGAGGAGCACAGAGCCCATATGCACCCAGCATACATGCAGAGATGACGTCAGCATCTCCAGGAAGGCCTGCCAACAAACCCATGTCAGGTCAGCTCTTCAGTCCCGGCCAGCTCACATCCTCATTGTCCGATAGTGCTGTAGTCCTTAAAACTACACCTTGGTCAATCTAGATGTGAAGTGTGAGCGCGTCCAGAAGCACACAGGCGGAATTCATAAATGTTCTGCTGGGAACCATCACTCCAGTGCAGGGCATCAGAAATTTTAAAGGGGGGCAGGGATATGCCAGAGAAGCTGGATAATCTCTAGACTATCTTACTCTTACACACACACACACACACACACACACACACACACACACACACAAACACACACACACAAAACCCACACAACCTACACATACACACACCCTATATACACATACCCTATGCACACACATACACACAACTTATACACACACATTATACACACACACCCTTATACACACTACCTACACACACATAATCTGCACACACCCTACATACACACACCTTACACACACACACATACATACACACACACACAACTGGCTTCCAATATCAGAAGGCTTCTGGACCCTGGGTTAGTAACACCCAATCTATTCTTATGAAATTCAAACTAAATTCAATCAGATAGCCAAGGGAAAAATATATAAAGCTTGTTTTCAAAATTTGAACTGTTTCTGAAGAGGCATCAAGTGTGGAATATAAAACCATGGAGGTCCAGAGATGCACAGAATAGGAAACTCCATGTAGCAGGTACCTTTGCATAACTGTGTCCAAGACACCCAACAGACATGACTTATGGGAGTAAATTCCTGTTCGACTCATGGTTTCTGTGGGGTTCACCCTGGCCTGGCAGAGAAGCAAGGTGCATGGAGGATGCTGTGGGGTAGCCTCCTGTGCACTGTGAAGAGCTGTCACTCAATTCGGTTAATAAAACACTGGTTGGCCAGTAGCCAGGCAGGAAGTATATGCAGGGTGACCAAACTAAGAATGCTGGGAAGAGGAAGGGCGGAGTCAGGAGTCGCCAGCCAGATGCAGAGGAAGCAAGATGAGTACGTCACACCGAGAAAAGGTACCAAACCACGAGGATAACATAGATAAGAATTATGGGTTAATTTAGTGTAAGAGCTAGTCAGTAATAAGCCTGAGCTACCTGTTGAGCATTTATAAGTAATATTAAGCCTTCGAGTCAATCATTTGGGAAGCAGCTGCTGGGTATTTGGGAACAGGCAGGCAGGAGAGAGTCTGTTTACAGAGGTGGAGGTGCTGTTCACATTGCAGCAGGCAGGAAGCAGAGAGCAAGACATGGATCAGGGGCTGAGTACACCCTTCATAGTCCCTCCCTATACCCCAGTTCCTAGAGGTTCCACTAGCTGAGCAAGAGCTCAAAACATGGACCTGTGGGGTCACTTCAGATTCCAACCATATCATTCAAATATGGAAGCTCAGAACGAGAACCCTCAGACCAGCGGGAGGGCTTTGGAGAGGACCTGCCTTAGACGTGGTGGGTCGTTCCTCTCTTGTCATGGTGATGAAGAAAAGGACACTGTGGGACAGTGCTGCTGTCATGAAATAATACCTTGTCCAAAGGTCCAGGATGTTTTTTTCGGCAAACATGCAGGGCTCTGGCCCAAGGCTGCATTAACTGAATGCCGGTGCCAAACTGTACAGTGAATGCCTTTGGTCTCAGGTCAGAGTAGTTGAGTATTTCTGAACAAGGAAGCAGTGAGCTTGGCCAAGCATCATGCAGCAGAACCTGCACCTGTGTGGGTACTTGCAGCATCTAGAAACCACACCCCAGTACATTAGATTGATGGATTGAATCGCATCCTCTTGATGGTCATCACAGCTTCTTTTCCCGTTGCTATGATACACACAGTCACTCTGGCTTACAGTGACAAGGGAACCATTCCATCGGGAAGACATGGTTTCAGGCACAGAGTCACGGAGGCAGGAACAGAAGGCTGGCTGGTCAGATTGCATCCTCACTCTGGAAGCCTCGAGAAAGTGGGGTTGGACTATCAAACTCAAGGCCTACCTCCATCAACCCACTTCTTCCCAAACACGTGTGCCAACATGTGAGCCTGCAGGGGACACCTCACATTCAAACAACAGTCTCAGATACTGCAGGGACACTCACGCTCCACTTCAACAAGGTCCTAGGCCAGGACCTGGAAGGAGAGGGCGTGCTGCTGGAGACACAGCTGTTAGAGCCTCAGTTTGTTGGGAAAGGAAGGCGTGGGTGTCTGTTACAGCTAGGGAGGGGCTGGCTGGGACAAGACAGAAGGGAAGTGAAGGGAAGCTCTCTCTCTCTCTCTCTCTCTCTCTCTCTCTCTCTCTCTCTCTCTCTCTCTCTCTCTCTCTGTTGATTTCAGGACCCTTGTGAGCTGCTGATGACATGGAGAGGATGATGGGGACCATGTCTGTCACACTGCCCTGGCCCTGAGCTCACAAGGCACAAGGCAGCCGAGAGCACAAGAATGGAGAAGAAAACACCAAATCGGGAGTCGTGGCCTTGGAACTGTTCCCAGCCCAGATGGGGGTGACAAGTCATGGCTAAGCAGAACCTGAAGAATATGGGATCTATACTCCGGAGTAATGCAGTGTTTGGATCTCGAGCTTCTGAATCCTGTGAACATCAAGTAACCAAAGGAGGATGGGTGGTGTCATGACAACCAGGAAGAAAAAAGAAACATCCGCTCCAAGATCTGGCAGAGGATCTTCTAAAGCAACCCCCTGTCAGTCTGACCTCGCACATTTCTCCAAGGAGACTCTTTGCTACCCAAGTGTGGCCTCCGCTGCAGAGGCAAGAGGACTGCACCGTGCTGCACCGTGCTGCACCGGCTGCTGCACCGGCTGGGGCCACCTGGAGAAACGATGCAGCAGCTCTAGGGATGCCGGTCTATGAAGTCATCTCTGAGAACTGGGCTCGGGGCCCAACATTATGTAATAATATCTGCCCGTGTGCCTGTGTGGGTGCCTGCAAGCATCTCATAGGAAACCTGGTCCAGATGCTCTGGAGAGAACATTGTCTTTTTGTTATTAAATACTGCAGTTCCCTTCATGTGATGGTCACACCAAACTCCAGTTCCAACCTACAGCCCAGAGGCTACCATGTCACCCATTCCCCCATTAGAGAATGGGGGCTTCCA